TTTTGTAGGCTTAGTGCATCTGTTGGCAAGCCGGGTCTTACAGGCACCAAAAGGCAGACCTCTGAAGTTGAACAGAAAATAATGAATATTGCCATTTTCTTTGTATAAATAGTTGGTGACAATGTTTGTGCTGTGAAAACAGTCAAAAGGATTTGAAGAAGCTTTGTGAGGTCAGCCCGTCCTAGCCCAGAGCCCATTAGATCCCTTGGACTACACACCAAATCATCCTCAGTTTAGGGATGATGGGATTGTTATGAAACAGATCTGGAAAACAAGACCAGAAAGGGTGCTCAGAAATATAAATCTGCAGTGGGCTTTGAAGGATGACAATTCTGCTAAAATCTCACCATAACACATATTTATCTTTAAGCCTTATGTTAGCAATTACCGATAATCAGACTGGCATGTATTCATGAAAGGAAAGATACTGACTTTTTTTAAAAAAAATCCTGCTCATCTTTTAACCTTTTGCAATCAGGGGAATTTCTCAGTGGGGCGAGTATTTCCACATAGAATTAACTCATGTGCTTATGTGTGTCTATAGCTATCAGTAATCCTAATTTATCTGAAAGTAGTTATGATTTCTTCTAAGGTTTTTGGCTAGGAAGACATTGTTTTTTTGCCTAAATATTGCAAAACTCCTGGCTGTTGCTCAGCTCTATGCAAGTCTGGGTATTCAACATCCATACTTCCTATTGAATAAGCTTGATTTGAGCAGCTGTTTTAAGTCATGCAGCTTTCTATATATAATCTTTGTCTGTGAGTCTAGTAAACCAAGTCATAGCCAGAATAATTATACCCACCATCTGATTCTTGCTTGTCCTAAAGAGAGAATACAATGCAAGAAAGAAGTCAATAGGATGCTGTCAAAAGCAAAAGGAAAACTTTTAAAGGTCACTGTATATACCATATTTAAAATAAGATTTGAAGCCAATAACTATAATAGCTGCAATAATTTAACAGTTGCTCTAGGACAGTGATGGTGAACCAAATGTCATGTGGAAACATCCTGTGTGCATGCGCACACGCTCATCGGGGCCGTGCTCCGGAAAAGCCGAACTTCCAGGTTTTAGCATGCATGTGCGGCCGATGATCAGCCTGCCGGCACGCATATGCATGCTGGTTTGTAGCACTGCCACGCATGTGAAGGACAGCTGATCGTCGTATGCGTTTGCACGCCTGAAACCCAGAAGACAAGGCCGCACGTGCCGGGCAACATGGCTTCGCGTGCCACTTTGGGCATGCGTGGCATAGGTTCACCATCACGGATCTAAGATAAACTGTCTTTTATCAACATCCTGTATACAGATTTTCCATAGGATGACCAAAACATGTAAGTTATGGGTCTCAGAAAATTGAATGATATGTAATAATATTTTGTTTTATTCTATTCAAACAAGCTAACAATAACTAAGTTGCTTGGATAGTGATATGGGGGTCATATAAATTTAATAATAAAAAATAAATAAACGGTGACTGTCTTAATAATATTATGTAACATTACTATGATGAAATGTTAAATTGAAAAATGAAAATAAAAATGAAACATGACATTTACAAGCAAAACTCTTTTAAAAATTGATGAAATTGTTCATTGGACTCTTCCTTGCTTTCTTATTTGGACTTATTTGGACTGGGATGGGAAATCCAATGCGTTAAAAGACATGTAGATTTATGCTTCTATCATTGCAAGATCCAAGACCAGAGGTTTAGTCTTCCTAGTTTTCGGATACCTTGGACAGTTCTTTCAGAGCAATTGAAGAGATACACTGTTGTAGAAATGTTGCATCCTCTGATGCACGCCACGGTGACACGGACGTTTCCCCCTATTGGACAAAACACGGAGTTCCCTCGGCGGGAGAATAAAGCCCCTCCAATGGCTAAAGCATCTGACAGCTGCTGTATATAAAGAGACACAGAAAGTAGTTGCCGGTTCCTGAGTTGCCCTGTTAGCGCTGTTCATTGTTGAGCCAATAAAGACTTGTGCATTCTGCGCTCTTGTGTTGCCTCAGTTCTTGGTCCCTCTTGTTCTGCCTACAGAGCAAGAAAAGTAGATTATTTTATTTTACTCATAGAAAAAAATATCAGAGTTTCACAATCTTGCAGCTGTAGGGCAGCCCACACCTAAATATTTTATCTCCACCAGAATGGTTCTTGGCAGCTGAAGAAATATTAATGCTTCACATTCTTTCTGTGATGAAAATAAAATTTACCTCAGTTCTTGAATTGATCATCTTTCTCTTGAATCCTCTAACATGCCTATCTTTGTGCAAGATGAAAAAAGAAATGAAAATATTTTTGGTGGTTATCCAGTAGACAGAGTAATAGAAAATTAGATAGCAAAGATGGATTGAGAAAAAAAAATGAGAGCAAGGAAATGAAAAAACAAACAAACTACAATGTCAAAAAAGGCTAAAGTTTATAATCTTTTGCTTGTAGCTGTAAGGAAAAAATATGTAGAACAAGCAAGTGTCTTATTATGCTAGACATAAAAATCTCAGCAGGCTCAGATGGAATAAGCATAGTAGCAAAACTAAAAAAACAGGTTTAATCTCCTCAAGATGTTTTAAGTATTTTTTCCGTTGGTCATGGCTGTCCAAAGGTGCTTTTTCAAAAAGCAACTGGACTTGCTTTGTTTTTGCTTGAAGACATTTTACTTCTCATCCATAAGCTTCTTTGATTCTGACTGAATGGTGGAGGATGATAGAATTTATATTTCTTGCAGTCATCAGGTCATTAACACTTTTTCTGAGAGTTGTCCAGGCCACTTGGATGTTTACCTCATGGTCACTTGAATAGTGATTTTGAAACAGGGAAAATTCTTCTGGATGCCATCAGGTGCTTTAATAAGAAAAATGGCAGGACATCTGATAAAATGTCGATTATTCTCACAGCCCGTCCTTCTCAATATAGGTAACATTCTATGTTTTTTCACTTCCTTAATGTTGTCTGAAAGGGACAGAATATGGGGCATTTTCTTTCCATCCCTGTCCATCAAGTATTTTAGTGGCTTATATTCTTTTTGCAACAGATCAAAATATGTTTTATCTGTTTATTTACTTACTTACTCATAGGTAGTCCTTGACTTAGTCCAAACTTGAGTCCAAAATTTGCGTTGCTAAGCAAGACAGTTGTTAAGTGAGTTTTGCCCCATTTTACAAGCTTTCTTGCCACAGATGTTAGGTGAATCACTGCATTTTTAAAGTTAGTAACACTAAATCAGTAACACCAACTTAGCAGTAGTTGTTAAGTGAATCTGGCTTTCTCATTGACTTGACTTGTCAGAAGATTACAAAAGGTGAGCATATGACCCTGGGACACTGCAACTGTCATATATACATGCCAGTTGCCAAGCCACTGAATTTTGAACATGTGACCAGGTGATGCTGCAATGGTTGTAACTGTGGAAAATGGTCACAAGTCACATTTTTCATCACTTCTGAAACTTTGAATGGTCATGAAATGAATAGTTGTAAGTCAAGGACTACCTATACCCGTGATGGTGAACCTATGGCACACATGCAACAGGTGGCACGTGTAACCATATCTGTGGGCACGTGAGCCGTTGTCCTAGCTCAGCTCTAGAGTGCATGCGCATGCTGGCCAGCTGGTTTTTGGCTGGCCCCACTCACACCACTCCTCCCCTCCCAGGAGTTTCCATGCAGCCCATTTCGAATGCCAGGTAAGTACAGGGCTCGTACAGAAGCTCTGGGAGGGCATTTTCGGCCTCCAAAGGGCCTCCAGGAGGTGGGGGTGGGGGAGGCCGTTTCCATCCTCCCCAGGCTCCAAGAAAGCCTCTGGAGCCTGGGGAGGGCGAAAAACAGGCCTTCCGGGCCCACCGGAAGTTGGGAAATGGGCTGTTTCTGGCCTCCAGAGAGCCTCCAGGGGGGTGGGGGAAGGGTGTTTTTGCCCTCCCCAGGCTCCAAGAAAGCTTCTGGATCCTGGGGAGGGCAAAACACAGACCTACCGGGCCCACCGGAAGTCATGAAACAGGCCATTTCTGGCCTCCGGAGGCTTTAGGGAGGCCTGCTAGGCCCAAAATGCGGTGCGGGGAGGGTCGTGCACGGGGAGCAGAGGCGGTCATGCATGCACACACGGGGGGCATTGAATTATGGGTGTCGGCACATGTGCGCGCGACCCCCCCCTGCTTCACCCACTTTTCGCACGTGACGGCAAAAAGGTTAGCCATCACTGTGTATGACCTATACTTACTGTGTAAGATCTGTGTAGCTGCCCATCTGGATAGCTCACAAGAAGATTAAAAACTGAACTATAAAAGCCATAAACCATATATTTGAATATGTTGCAGAACTAACAGTATCCACAAAATTCAAAGTGCTGTTTTTAACTTATAAGGCCTCAAATGGCTTTACTTGTAGGTACTATTAGGATCAACTCATGAGAGGATCAACATCATGAAAGAAATTAGTGGTAGTCCCTCATTGTCAAAGATGAAGGAAACAGATGACGTTAGTAAAGACAGAGTTGTTTTAGAAAGTTTTAGGGGAATGACAAAGTAAGTGTGGTTGGTCAGTTTTTGCAATTTATTAATTTTATCATATTTAAAATAGTTATGTATTATGGTTAGTTAATGTTAATTATCAAGAATCTAATATGTAATTAATGTGGCATACAAAACTGATAAACTTTAAGAATTGTATATATAAAGGCATATATTTAAAATATATGAAGATATATGTCTGTCTATTTATTTGCCTGCGCTCATTATGAAGCACTTTCCTGAAAACTTCCTTGGTTGCGACTTTGTAGACAGATAAAAGAAAATATTCTTTTATACATTGTGCAGTATTGCCCCTGAGATTGGACTTCTTTGCAAAATTACCTGTGATATAATTGCTATATATCATCCCCAAGATGAGGGGCAGTATGACTTTCAATACCAAGTTTATTTTTTATCAAATATTTTAAAGTTGTGTGTTTGGAATGCATTCTCTTGTTTAATATTTCAGTTTACTATTCTATTATAATTTGTTTTGCAGATTGCATGTGGTTCAGAGCACAATCTAGCAATAGTTGGTAAGTAGTATGATATTTTGTATTAAATGTTCTGAAGTCTTCCTCTTTTAGTTGTATGCCAATTGTAGAACAAATTATTTAGAAAGTATTCTAAGGTATATATTCTGGAACTAATGCAAATTAAAAAAGTAGAAAAGAATGAAAAAGGAATAGAAAGTGCGGAAAAGAAAATATAAAGAGAAATACAACAGAAGGAGTAATAATATAGTAATTTTTTTCTTCTCCCTTCATTACAACAACTGCAAATGTTCTCTGAGAATACAACAAACAATCATTTCTTCCTATATCTCTTTTTTCTATAAACAAATTCTTAAACCTGACATTCCTAGTTAGCAACAGTTCATAAAGGGTTGCAAAAAAGCAAGATATATATTTTAACCTTAAATAAAATATATATTATTCCCTTTATATATATCCCTCCCCTTTACATTTACAAAGTAATTTATCACTTATTCTAAAAATACAACAAAAACTATCTTTTTCCAGATCTTTAGAGCTTCGTCATTCAGTCCTAGTCAGCAAAAAGCCATTAAAGTTTGGGCTACCAGAAATATTTTAACCTTGATTAAATAAACAAACTTTGTATTATTTCTGTTTGGAGTTAACAATCTTCATATTTAAACACTTTAAATAATGTCTCAGAATTTGATTTCTTTTTATTTTCCTTTTGTCTCTTCTCTGAAAATCCTTTAACAAATATCTTTTATAAATCCAAAATAAGAACATTTTCCCAGTCATTCTTCTAGTTTGTTATTTGTATATCCTTTTAATTATTAAGAAATCAGTCATTTCATTTGTATATCCATTGTAACATCTTTTTCCATATCATTCTTATAACTCGTCATTATTAAATGCGAGGGAGATGGGTGGTTAAGAAATATTAAATATTAAACAAACAAGCAAACAAACAAACAAATACCGTATTTTCCGGCGTATAAGACGACTGGGCGTATAAGACGACCCCCAACTTTTCCTGTTAAAATATAGGGTTTGGGCTATACTCGCCATATAAGACTGCCCCTCTTCCAATGCACACCAAATAAAAATTAAAAAACATCAACTGGCTCACCTACACTGTAAAAGCAGCTGTGCTAGACCCAAAATGGCCCCTGTAACAAGCAGGAACCTCACACAGCCACAAAAAGCCCCCCCAAAAAACTTTCACACTCTAAACACACACAACACAACACAACTGGCTCACCCACAATGTAAAAGCAGCTGTGCTAGACCCAAAATGGCCCCTGCAACAAGCAGGAACCTCACACAGCCACAAAAAGTCCAAAAAACCAACTTTCACACTTTACACACACAAAATTCCACATACAGCTTTGTGAGATTTTGTGTGTTTGTGTAGTTGGAGTGAAACACTACAGAAACACACTAAATCTCAGAAAGCTGCACAAATATTGTTTTATTTTATTTTATTTTTATTTTTATATGAAAGCTAAATTTAAAACTTCCTAAACTTTAAATGGCTAGGTCTAAAAAAGAACAACTAAAAAAACCCCAATTGACTATTTTTTTTAAAGCTCCCAAAGGGGAAAAAAACTTACCCAATAGAACAGGGGTCTCCAACCTTGGCAACTTTAAGACTTGTAGACTTCAACTCCCAGAATTCCTCAGCCAGCTTTGCTTTGCTGGCTGAGGAATTCTGGGAGATGAAGTCCACAACTAACTCCTTGCTTGATTGCAGGCAGGGAGTTGCTTGCTTGCCTGAATAGATTCAGGCAAGCAAAGCAAGGCAAGCGTTGCGACTAGCAGCTGAGGTAAGCAAGCTGGAGGGGGAAAACTTTTTCCCTTTTACATGGCTCTGGCCATCCCAGCTGAGTTGCAGGGAATTCAGCTGGGATGGGATCGACCGTCAGAACTGGGACCGTCAGAGCCATGGTTCTAGCGATCCCAGCTGAGTTGCAGGGAACTCAGCTGGGATTGTCAGAGCTGGGATCCTCAGAGCTGGGATCGCCAGAGCCATTTAAGGCTCGTCAGAGCCTTTCGGGCTGGTCTGCCTGGTTACAGGAGAATGACACCCGGTGTATAAGACGACCCCCGACTTTTGAGAAGATTTTCATGTGTTAAAAAGTCGTTTTATACGCCGGAAAATACGGTAAATCCAGGTTTGAATTCACCTCAGTCTGGGTGTTATCCAGTAAAATTTGTTCCTCTTTAATAACCTCATTTAAATCCTGTTTTTCCATAACAGACAATTTTAAGATTAACTTCTTCTTTTTTTTTTTATTTATATGCCGCCCTTCTCCGGAGACTCAGGGCGGCTTACAGTGCGTTAAGCAATAGCCTTCATACTTTTGTATATTTATACAAAGTCAGCTTATTGCCCCCACAAACTGGGTCCTCAATTTACCTACCTTAGAAAGGATGGAAGGCTGAGTCAACCTTGAGCCTGGCGAGATTCGATCTTACTTTAATTGCAGACAGCTGATGTTAAATTACAGTGCTTCTGTCTGTTGAGCTAAACCAGGCTCCTTCTGAATCCATTCTTCCCAAATATTCTTGAATTCATCCAGAATTAAAATGTTTTGCTGCATTCTGTATTAGTGATTTGAATTTAAATGTGTTTTTATTTATAATCTAGTGTCTAGTGTTTTTATAATCCTTCTAGTGTCAAACCTTTAAACTCCTATCTTTTTTTGTTCTTTTCTAAACCACATTTTCCCATGGAAAGGTTTCTTATAATTAATTTCAAAATGTTTTCAAATCTCTCTGGACCCTTAATCTGTTAATAACTTTCTGAAATCAAGATTCTAATCATCCTTTTATTGTTTATCTCCTCCTTTTAAAGCCTTAATCTTGTCCTTAGTGCTTCTTTATTCAAGGATTGAAGGAAACTCAACATTGTAAAGGTTCTTAATAGGTTCTTAATTCTGTCAACAAACACAAGTGCTGATTTACCATCAACTTATCAGGTACTTAGGAGCTATGGGCTTGGCAGCACAAGGAAACCATAGCCAATTGCCAGCCATTAACATACCAATCAACCAATAGGAAGTCACCACATAAATACACTTCACAGAATAGCCCAGTAGAGAGAATTTTTTTGAAGATGGGCTCCAGCACAAGTCTGAAAGCTTTGAAGAGTAAACTTCTGGTCCGGTGACCAACCCAGATTCGATCTTGCAACATTATCTTGGGACATGTATATTTGCCTTCATTCATGAGGTCCTTAATAGTTGAAATGCAATTAAAATATAATTCCAAAAGTGATAAAGAAATGAGGCTCAACTAAGCTTTTTGTCCATATATACTACTATGTTAATGGCTATGAGTTTGATGGAACTCCCTTGACTCTCAGCCGCTTCAATCATGAGTTCATCACAAAAACTTTGGTTTCTGTAATCCACTTACAAGGAGCAGCTGTCCAGAGTGCGTATGTGCAATCTCATGATCTCTCCTTTTTCTGGAGAGATTGAAAGTGGCCAGAATTTGCCTTTTGGACATTGATTTCTGAGGCAACATCATCTCAAGGATGTTCAGCACATCATGTCCTCAACAGAAGTAATTGGAATTGTTGGTGAAATTCTAACTCCAGCAAAGCCTTGGGCTACAAATCTCAAATAATACAATTAATAATTTCTCACATACAGACAAAAACCTGTTGTTTCCAGTGCCTGCGGTCGCAGTGATTTCCCACTTAATGCTCTATTAGTAGCAAGATCTTTTCACCCAGCACAGAGCATTTGTGTACAGCAAGGAAGCACAGCATGTCCTTGTATTACTTTTATCAATTATACATGATAAATTCTGCCTTGACTAAGACTACATTGTATGAGCTTCCTGAAAGATCAGCATGGCAGCATGTTAACAACTCCTTCTTTCTCCTAGCTGTCCTAATCATATCCATAGTTTGCTTAAAGGGTACTTAGCAGGAATTCTTCCTAACAACCAAACATTATTCCTTAGGTCTAGCATTTATATCACTGTTCCATCAAGATTTATATGCTTGAGTAAGAGGTAGACATAACGATTCAGTTGTTTATTGTCAAAATCCTTGTTCAGTGGTATTATAATAATACATTCTAATTTAGGCAGCAGCCAAATTTATTCTACAAGTGAAAACCAAGCAAAACAGAAGTATAATAAAATAGGTGAAAAATATCAGTACAAAATAAAACATAGCTAGCAGGGAATTATGTCAGGAAGGATTGATATAGATACAGGGGATCTTAGCTGATAAGCAAATTTTAACAAATATAAATATGCATAATTAATATTTACCGTACGTTTGCTAACTGCAATAATTAAAAGAAAAGAAATTCTCTAGAGAAAAAAAAAGGATATTTGCATAGTCTCATTGCTTTGTAGTGAATCAACAATATAATCAACAAAATCTTTGGAATTTTTGCCAAGTACAGTTTACAATGAAAAGGCATGTTTTAAAATTAATGTATTTTATGTAGATGCAGGATCTAACAATAAACTATTTTTATACTTACTCTGCTTTCATACTCTCACAGAGGGAAGCTTTACTAGTCACATAATAATTTTGCTTTTAAGAATGTAAGAGTTTATGGTTTATTAGATTATCATAAAAAAAGAGATTGAGAGATATTGAACTATAAGTTAAACAGATGAAAAAATAGTTTTATCTAGGCACTGATAAGCATAGCATTCTATATTAATGGAATGCAGTTTTACTTGGAACAGCTTAGAATCTTGCAACAATATCTTGCAACAATAATCTTACAAAGCCTTGGAATTTATATATCAGCCAAGTCATTCAATATGCTGGCCTCCTATAAACAAGTTAGGAGGTATTAACATGTTTCTTGTTCAGGAAGATCTAACTATCAGAATTTACATATGTATTTGTTTACTGAAAGGAAAAATTAAAATAAACCAAATGTATATGCAGACATTACTCAGATATTTTAAAATGCCCAGCAAGCTCTGACTTTCAATCATTATTATATCCAATCCAATATATCAGTGGCTGAACAATGACAATGTATCACTGTTAGGTAATTATAAGAGATAGCCTTTTTACA